GTCGAAGGCACCAAGTCCGGCCCATTGGTTTAATAACCTGATATTCATTGATATGTTGAGTATGGAATAGATATATATGCTAGTTTTGATATGCTAGCCTGGTAGATCTGTATGACTACCTGTGATACTGTCTGTTTATCTGTGTATGATATTATCTATTATATGTCGACATATTGTCTGGGTTGGGTTGAGGTTGTACCGCTCCGTGTTATAGCCAACAAGCCCTGGAGCAAGCCATATATGAGTTGAGGGCCGGGGAGAGCATGCCAGAATCATACTGAGGGCTCATGAGCATTCCAGATACGAGCTGAGGGTTGGGAAGGGCATGCTAGACTCGTACTGAGGGCTTGGTGGTATTCAGTCCGAGGACTGATCAGGTCAAGGAGCATATGTTGTGGGCTCAGGGGTAATCCAGTTTGTTAGCTTTGGACCCATTGCATACTATTATTATATATGTGCTATTTGTTTGTGTATTGGTATTTTGGGGGAACTCATTAAGCTTTGGGCTTACAGTTTTTGATTATGTTTCAGGTACCTCAGAGGATCGCGGGAAGGCGAAGGCGTGATCGTGCACCTCCTCATGTTTTGTTTTATGATTTTGGGAAGACTCTAATATTAAAAATGTTTTGAAAACTATTTTGTAAACAATGGTGATTTATGGGTTGATTTAAAAGTTTAAATTTTCATGAATTTTATGGATGCTACAATCTTATTGATGGTAGGCGCTAAGACACTGATCATAACTCATTCGATGAGTCTCAAAGGTTCGGAACCTTTAATCATATGTGTCAAAGCAGGTGTTGAGTGCTTGAAATTGGTCCATATATTGTTGATGGTATGGTGGGTATCCGACATCATGGGAGATGAGCTGGCTCCACCCATTGGTGGAGGATTTTGTGGTTCTCCTCTTCGTCTTCTTCTTCTTCTTCTTCTTCATCATCATCAGCAGCAACAACATTGTCTTCCTCACCAGATAAGTAAGTGGAACATAAGATGTGTGAAATATGCCAATCGATAAGGTTATCTGGACGCTTAATGGCAAGAATGTTATGGTTTTCAGATGTGATGAGGAGCTTTTGGGTTGTGGTCTTGGCCTACGGTCCAACTGTGATAGTTGTCCACCAATCGGAACATCGTCATAGACTCAAACACCGATGTGGTGAGATAGGGCTCATGGGGTAATGGTAGATGATTACCGGGATATGGGATCTAGATTGACAAAATTTTGGCTAACATGGTTACAATGCTACCACAGTAAATTTTTCTGAATTGGGTTGTACTGATGTGTTATGAGTTATAGTTGACCAAGTGATAAAGTATGTCTTTCTTGGCATTACATATATGAGGAATTGGTCTATAGAGAACTTTTTCGTAAGACTTATTATCATAAATGAGTAAGGGTTTTGATTATTCTCTGATTTCTTGAGAATACTTATATTAGTGATAATGCGAAAATTAATATAGTACGACAAAGTCAAAACCCGAAGGGGACGCGAAACACGTAGGTTCGTGAACTTTGTCATTTAATCCCTAGTGATAAATGGATTGGTCGTGTGAGAAAATCCAGTAAAGATGAGTGTTTGGCTAAACAGATTTGATGATTCGATGATGAAATTAAGTCGACATGCTGATAAGCTCTGATAAAAGAACCTAGGATGTTATGTTGAGTACGAAACAATAGAATGATACAAATTAGTACCGTGGATGCACAATATAATGACGATTCTTACTTAGGAAAATTGGAAGCGAGCGACAGTGATCGTACTTATTCTCTGAGTTTATCATCCTAAGTGGGGAGAGTTGTAATGCTTGTAAGTTAGGGCTAGATGATTTAATTGATTATAATAAATAATTATCCATTTATTGAATAATTAATTAGGATAATTGTTAGTCGTACGTGTTACAGACTATATAGACATTTTTATCACCGAGTGATAAAAAATAACGTGTTTGATAAAATATTATTTATGATAAATAACCTTGATGAAAGTTGTAGTAGTCGTGATAATGAATTTGTGGGTATAAAGAACGCCCAAATTTGACTTCTTATGAAGAAGTTATGATCTTTCGAAGTTTTGCGTTCAACCCTATACCGCAAAGTGTATCATAAAATATGAACCATAGATAGGTTTCTTATTAGCCTAAATGATCTAAATGAATGTCTTAGTAATCGTAATTCCAAGATTGTGCATATAAAGAACGCCTAAATCTGACTTCGTATGAAAAATTTATGATTTTTCGAAGTTTCGGTGGAGCAGTGTGAGACATAGAAATCAAAAGTAATATCGATTGATTGTTAGCCAAAAAGATGTAAATGATAGTTGAAGATCTCGTACATACGAATCCGTCGATATAAAGACAGCCGACAATGGAGGTCGTATGAAGGAGTTATGATTTTTGCACGGATTTTAACAGTGTTAATCTCTATAAAATATGAATTTAAAATAGATTGAGAATTAGCTGTTGAGATGGAAAGTTATAGTACTCGAAATTAGTTATGTGTGGATATAAATAACGTCAAAAATGGAGTTCATATAAGAGATATATGATTTTTCAAAAATAAAAAAAATACCTATGTATGATGATGTGGTGGCCTGAGAGTGCGCCACATGGCGAAGCCAAGGCCGGACTCTTCCACCGACCAAACGATGTGGCCTCACCACAAGATGACATATGGCAAGGCTGGAGCGACGAGAGACAAGGCGATGTAGTAAGAATTATAAAGGATGCTTAGTTCGAGTTGAAAGAGTGCTTAGTTATACCCTTTAATTTAAAGATATTACATAGGCATGAGATATGTTTTGAAAGTTGATTACGGGTATTGTAATCTTGCCTAGTTATACACTAAGGCCCAAAGGAGATGCTTATTTCAATTAAGTTTGGACATTAGGTAGCAATATATAAAGAGTGTGTGTGGGATTGTAACAGAGAGTAGAACTCTGTTTGATAACATTGTGATTTGCTGTAGTACGTTTTACATACATGAGTACTATATTGGAATTTCCTCTCCTTTGAACATAACTTTGTTCGATGACATTGTTGTGATTTGTTGTGGTACGTTTTATATATACATGAGTACTATATTAGTATTCCACTCCTTTTAGACAGCCAGAAAGGGTGAGTCTGTATCAGACCATCAACATGTATGTCGGAGTCATCTGCCATAGTGGGATGATGACCACTGACTAAACCCAGTCTTGTGGAATACGCCAACCGACTTATAGTTTGTAGATGTTAATGAACAATGTGTTTATTCGCTGCACTCTATCCCCCCTCTCATGGTTGCCTTTATTGACTAATGCTTGTTGCCAAGGACACCCCAAAGAAGTATAGTCAACTCGTTGCTTACAGTGATCCATCAGGATAGATCTTATAAGATCATTGTATTAGGATCAAGATGTGAGGATCGACGGTATGTGTAATTCAGGGAAATATGTCTTATAAGATATTTATGTTGTGCTTATTGGATGACACTTGGTTTTGCAGGTTTATTGATTATGGATTATAATCATAATAATATTATGGGATTGAAAACCCTATGTATCTTACCAAGTTTTCCAACCCGACCCACTCAATTTATATGCATCATATGTAGCGGTGATAAGACTGCTGAAAACTTGAATATGATGCTGAGTTATTGAAGAGAAGACATACAATAGTGTTTAGGATTGTTACATCTTTACGTTGTAACATATGTTGTGTATCGATTATGACATCCTTAGAGTTTTTATTATTTTGAAATAATCATATGTACTCAAAATGTATTAATGTACTGAGATTTTCTGCAAATAACGATGCTATGAATTTTAAAAGCGTAAAGGATTTTTTTTCGATTCTGAAAAAGAGGGGATGTCACACCGGTCATGGTTACAGGTATTCAGTTTGCCGTAATCCAGAAACACAAAATGCCACTTTTTCTTCAACATGTGTTCATTGAATCGAACGTCTGTCTGGTTCTACTTCCGCTGCTTGATTCCTATTGTCAAGCATCCCATTGATAATTAATCCATGTAGAGAGATTGTTTCCTCATAAAATCAACAAACCCTATCCCTTTTATTACTTTCAAGAAATCCTATTTCAGCTTAAATGACAATCTATCCAAGCCTTACTGTTATAGATCTCATCAAATTCAACACCAACCCTAGAATTAAATTATCTGGTATTACTTAAAGGTACTTAATAGGGAAGGAGACGAGTAATCAACATCATCCGGATCATACCAGGTATTTCAAGAAATTACTTCAACCATCACCTTATCACCGTTGGCATCTGCTGCAACCACCACTGGTGGTTCAAAACCCCAAATCAACAACGTTGATGAATGGTTGTTTGTCGGTGGCTTTAGGTGTTACTCTTCACGAAAAGATGGTGATGATGCAAAGTAGGGGTTCACCGGGGAGAGTATCCACTGGTGGTGGCTTAAGGAGGAATAGTTTTAGATTTTTTGAAGAGTTTAGAGAAAAGGGACGGTAAAGGGAAGGTGGGTTGGGGCATATTTTTTTAAAATAATAATAATAATAATAATAATAATAAGTTAATTGGAAAAGAGATACATATATGACATTATGGTCATTTCAGGTATGACATGGACTAAAATCGCAACAAAACTGCATATTAGAGGTGAAGCATGCATATTTTAACACCTGCACGAGTGACGATTGGTGTAACTTACCACTTATATTTTTATGTAAAAAAAGATTATTATTAATTTATCTAGTATCAAAACGGATGTAAAAATAGTTGTTTGGATTAGTTTACCTAAAAACATAATGAATTGATAATTTGTTTTTAGTGTTTGAAAGATTCTTACTTATAAATGTAAAATTACATATGAGGGTTATCTTAAACAAGCAATCCAAAACACCACCTTACAATTATTTGTTATATTAGAGCGGTTGAGACTTGAGCCCAACAAACATATTAATCTAGTTGGTCCATTAAAAGCCCAGCCCAAATCTAACAAGTTTCAGGGGACCGTGTGAATGGCGCCGCAAAATATGCAGCACCCCGCTTCCCCCTTTCTCTCTCTCACACACAGACGCACATACACAGAGCATAGGCACAAAAATGGCGTCGTTGGCATCGAGTCTCTCGTGTACAGTTTCCCGCCTAAATCTTTTTGCAGAACTGTCACTTAATTACCATTCAATCACAATATACAGAACATTATCATCAAAATTAAGACCAATGAAATCGTTGTATCATCATAGATCATTCAATTCGCCATTTTCATCCTATACCTGTAAGTCCACAATTTCGAATTGCTCGAAGACCCTGGGTTCGAACACAGTTTTTTATGACAATTTGGTTGTTCTGGGAATCGAGACAAGTTGCGACGACACTGCGGCAGCTGTTGTAAGTAAAACACTCTTAAAACCCACACGAGCTGATTTATGACATCGAATACCTAATTTACGAAGAATTTCGACCTTTTTTGTTTGGTGTTGATTTCAGGTTAGAAGTAATGGTGAAATCCTAAGCCAAGTTGTATCTTCTCAGGTAAAAAGGTTTATGGATAATAACAAATTGTTTCATATTGCTTACTTCTTATTAGGATTTAGGAGCTAAGAGACAGACATAATCTGTAATTTATGTTTTCATGGGGTTCACTCTAGTTTTCAAAGTGTATGAATTATATTGTTATCTATTATCAGTTTCCTATTATTAGGTAGGCAAAAATTATATTAAAATGTCTGGTATAAAGCTGATAAACCTGTTCTTCACATACACCTAATATATTCATGTATCTTCATCAAGGCAGATCTGCTTGCAAAGTATGGAGGAGTAGCTCCTAAAATGGCAGAAGAAGCTCATTCCCAAGTGATTGATCAGGTATGACATCTACTAATTGCCCTTTATTTTCTATTCTTCATACTTTGCTTCATAAGTATGTAACTTATGTGAAACCTTTACCAGTGTAATGATTATCAGTGATGCTCATTTTCTTAAAAACAAAATGTAATAGATGTGAATAATTGTCACCTTCTTTCTCCTATGCTATGGTTTCAGGTAGTACAAGATGCACTTGATAAGGCTAATTTAACTGAATCAGATCTTTCTGCAGTTGCAGTTACCATTGGTCCTGGGCTAAGCCTGTGTCTAAGAGGTATATCTGATGTCTTTTTTTTTCTTTTTTCTTTTTATGGTGGAATAGTGCTGTTTGACTTTGATTATGATACATATTCATAATGTAAGTGTAGTTGGCGTGCAAAAAGCTCGGAAAATTGCTGCTATTCATCAGTTGCCTATTGTTGGTGTGCATCACATGGAAGCTCATGCTTTAGTAGCCAGGTATAGTGCTCTAATAAGTTTTCAAATATTAAAGATGAGATCAGATAGTTTAAACTGTAAGTGGTCCAAAAATTTAAACTTTATAAAGGATCCGATCTTATATCTACTTATTAGATTTGTTTGCTTTTTTGTTTATATACTTTACATGGATTTTGACATAAGCAGAAAGTCAAATTTTTTCTTCATTTTGTTTACTTTTTTCATTTCCCCCCATGTTTTTTTACAACTTTAGGAAGCAAAACAGAAAAACATGCTGAAAAAAGTGGTATACAAATTGACCCTTGTTGTTTCTGTTCTAATAATTGTATGTTGGCTACTTTTGAAACAACTTAAACTCTTTACTAGGATTATCTTGGCTGCTTCCAGTCAAATCTTTAGATCACTTTATAGTTCACTTTATTCTTTAAAAATAAAATACTTATAATCTTTTTTAAGTGAAACATCCTCATCATTTCCTTCTCAACATTTCACAATCTTCTGTATTTTGCTTAGCCAAGTCTTTCTATAATTGACTACCAATGGGTCCCATAACTCAGTGGTGTTTCCATGTTGTCCAACCCAATCATGTTTGATAGTAATTATGAACTTGACATGCTTGTGCTTATACATTCTGTTGGTGTGCTCAAAAGTTAAAAAAATGACATTATTACCCTTTTTATCCTTCTAGATTGTGCGAAAGGGGCTTGCAGTTCCCTTTTATGGCTCTTCTTATCTCAGGTATAATCATATACCAACAACCACCAATCCGCCATTTCCAATAATATGTTGTAGATAAAGGTGATAAATCAAAAGTTAACAATTGTGATAATCATCAAAATTTTGAATTGTTAGGGGGACATAACCTTATAGTTCTTGCACGCGATCTTGGTGATTATTTACAACTGGGGACCACTATTGATGATGCGATTGGTGAGGCATATGACAAGTCAGCAAAGTGGCTTGGCCTTGATTTGAGGAGGAGTGGTGGGGCAGCCATTGAGGAGCTTGCTCTAAGGGGTGATGCTCAATCTGTGAAATTCTCTGTAAGTTAAGTTATCTTTGAAAGGAATGTGTGTAATTAGGGTTTATATGCGTAGTTATGTTTTTTGTTTTCTTGATTTAGGTTCCAATGAAACAACATAAAGATTGTAACTTTTCTTATGCTGGTCTCAAGACTCAACTCAGGCTTGCAATTGAATCAAAAAATATGTATGCAGTTTATTTCAAAAATATAAGCATTGATTTTGTGTTTATATTTTCATAAATTGTTATTTTGTTGCAGTGATGGTGGGATCCCTTTGTCTTCTGCAAGTGTTGAAGAGCAAGGCATACGAGCTGATATTGCTGCCTCTTTCCAGGTGAAGACAAATAAGATACACACATTACTGTAAAAAAAATTGTGATTTTTTAGAGGTTTAACCACTTTTTTTTCTTCCATTTTTATGAAAAGTTGTGATTTTGACATTTAGTGGTGATGTGTCGTTGACATGGGTCAACTTGATGATGTGGCAGATACAGGAATTGTTTTATTAAATAGTAACAATGTTGTAAAAGTTGGTTACTAGTTAGTGACATTGTCTTCTTAGCGTTTCAACATTTGAACAAAGTTCAAACTTGGTTACTATTAAATGAGATTGTTTCAATAAGCATGCCACATCATCACTAAAGATTAAAAGTATCAAAATTTCACTATTAAAACTTGTGCTTTATTTCATTGATTAACAACGTGCTTATATGTTTTCATTTTTTGTTCTTGATTTTCCATTAGAGGGTTGCTGTATTGCATTTAGAAGAAAAGTGTGAACGTGCAATTCAATGGGCTTTAGAGATTGAGCCTTCAATCAAACATTTGGTATTATTTATATATCTTTTTTGTTTAAACTTTAAACAAATGTTTGGAAGTAGGTTGCTATTTGTTGCAACATTTAATTGATTTAGGTTTCTGTAGGTTGTTGCAGGAGGTGTTGCCTCCAACCAATATGTGAGAAGTCGGCTCCAAGAGGTTGTTGGAAGGAACTCACTCCAACTTGTCTGCCCTCCTCCAAGTCTCTGCACTGACAATGGTATTTTGTTACTTATAACAACCTACTTTCATTCATTTGTCTATTATAGCATCTTACTTCCCGTTACAACATTCTACTTGAAAAAAATTTCCAAATATCCAAATACAAAAATAATTTTCATTTTCTCTAAGTTTAAGAAGAAAATAAAAGTTTAAACTACAGTGTTATAATTGGGTAGATTTTTAGGTGTAATGATTGCTTGGACCGGCATTGAGAACTTTCGTATGGGAAGATTCGATCCTCCACCGCCTGCCATTGAACCCGAGGACAGTCAGGTTTTCATTTCTTCCCTTTGTTAAATGTCTAAAATACCCTCCTTCATGTGTAATAATTATATTATATAATGTTTGAAACGTATGTAGCTTGATTTGAGGCCAAGGTGGCCACTGGGGGAGGAATATGGTAGAGGAAGAAGTGTAGCTCGCTCAATGAGAACAGCTCGGATTCATCCATCTCTCACTTCACTCACACAACACCAACGTCAATAAACTACTCATTCATTTTTAAATGCATGTATCAAGTTTGTTTTATATCGTTTTTAAGCTAATTGCTTACAAACTCACTAATACTTACTTCTATTATATACTTCTTAAATCACGATATCATAAAATATGTATGTATAACCAACATGTAATTAATTTTAATATCGAGATCTTACACATGATCTTTTTCACTTAGCAAGATGTTTTTTTATCGTAGGAGTTATAAAAGATTAATTATGCAACAATCTAATAAAAATATTTTAAATTTCAAACTTTGAAAATATCATAGGTCTAAATTTCTTAGTGCACTTCAAACTTGAAAACATCATAGGCTAAGTTTGCAGAATTGCAGCATTAAGGGCCTATTGAGAACGAATGAAACATGAGTGTTAAAACACTTTTATCAAAATCTTTGTGGCCTTTTAAAGATCATTTATCCATGTGGCTCGAAGTGGTCTATTTTATCTTTGATTCCGATGGCTTGACCTTTAAGAATCTTGACGGTGAGACCTTGTCTGAAGTCTTTATCGTTTTTACTGGTGACTCAAATTTATAGACACTTGTGGTGGCTTCAAATGCCCTTTATCGTCATTCATCGTCATTCCTGGTGGCTCATCCTTTACACAATATTGTGTTAGGTTCTTGAGTTCATTAACAACCTGGTGGTTCAACCTGTAACGTCTTAAAAATTTATACCATTTTTTTTTGAAAACATAAGTAAACCATTCAATACATTTTCATAAAAAGACCAGGTAGTAAATCGCTCCAAAAGACCATCAACCCATAGTATCAAAATGTATCAAGTCATCATAAAACAACGGAAGTCTATACCAAAACTAGTAACAATGCATGTACGGTACAGTCAAGCTGACCCCTCCCTCTAATAACAACAGAACCGCCTGACAACATTAAATCAACAATCTTAAGCATAAAGTTTAGGGAATTCCCCAATATACCACATACGACAATACACATACAATGCATACAAACAATGACTCATGGCTCTTGTGTCGTTCCGTCATCAACAGGGACCCGCGACTCTCATTTTATTCCGTCATCAACAAGGCGTACGACTCTCGTGTCGTTTCGTCATCAACAGGGACTTTCGACTCTTGTGTCGCTCCGTTATCAACTATGAGTATCTAGGTTCACAGCTCTAGTGATGCTCCACCATTAACCCCTCATGCCTCAACATAACATATCAACATATCATATAATCAAGCAATCAACACATATACGAAAGACTATCATAGTCTACTTGTATAATCAACGTACTAATAGTATACATACATCCTATTATACAATGATATATATACTGTAACACATAGTATAATGAAGAAACTCACCTAAACTGAAAAACTAAAACAATGCAGTCACGCAAATCGTACTCGTAAGAATCAGCTACGCGAACCTCCTAAATCATCATTATATGTAACTTAGTGACCAAAACCAACAAAGGGTCAGTCCTAGGTCCAAAACCTTAAATTCACCCAATATTTTAACCTAAAGTCATCCTATTATACAAGGATATATATATATATATATATATATATATATATATATATATATATATATATATATATATATACACACACACACACACTAGGTTTAAACCCGTGGAACCATGGGTGACAAAATAAAAAAAAAACTGAGATAAATTCATCTGCTAAATTGATTAAAAATAATAATTTAATAATAAAATAAATAAAATTGAGAAAAAGTTACAATGTATTTTGATTGTTTCTACTCGCTTACAATCCGCAAAATATTTCATGATATTGAAAAACTATGTACAATTACCTTTTATAAATAAAATGTATTTATCATATTGGTCATTTTTATTTTTGGCAAACGTAAGGATGTTGCATTAAAATTAACTGACGGAAGAATTTACATAAAAATTGACTAAAATCATTTTTTTATTAATATAAAACTAAATCAAACGATGAATCGATATTTTACACCATATTTTACACCTGATAACGCAAGGAGCCAAAGATTGATATCCATTTTAAGCTGACCGATTTTATCCGAACCAAATTAGTAAGGCCAATCATCATTTTTAATGGTTTTTACTTGTTTCCCATTAATGAAATCAATTAAGAAATAAAAATAGATGCATGCATCAAATAAATTGTAAAATCACAGAAATGACGAATAAGGTAAATACACTTTATTTTTGTATGATGATGTGGATTGATATTATCATGTTATGGTTTTTTTGTTCATCAAATTTTTGTGCCAAATTGTTCATCCTTTCATCTGCTAAAATTTTCCTATCTACAAGTGTAATTGGTTTTAGTTTTTGCCATCCTAACTCCCAAGACTCATCTCTTATTTTCCTGGTATTGCAAAGTCCCAACAATAAAATTTAACTCGTAAACAAACGTGACTTTTTTCTAATTATAACATCATACTTTCAAATTACATAGAGTCATGGGCCGCTTTTCATATTCTACAAAATGAGATTCCAACACTTTACATAGAGTCGATGGGCCACCTCTAATTCAACATCTCACTTCTACTGAGACTTGTCTCCATGCATCGGTGATGCGCAAAACTTACGCCCAACACTTTGTGTCAATTGATCACATAATTTCTTTGTTGAACAGGTTGTTATAATTTTAGACCTCGTTCTATCTTCTCCATTGTAGGAACTACTTCAACATACTACAACATCACACAAAATTTACATTATATCATCATATTTAACTTATTTGTCAAGATTGCTTTAAGAAAAATTACAAACTTTTGTAATAGACTTGTATGCAGCAAGTTCATTTGTATTGCCAATGTTGAACTGAACATGATTGACAGGATGATCACCAACTATTTTTTTTACTTCTTTTGGCTAAGTGACAATATACATGAGAGTTTGCCTGCGAGGAGGTATCTCATTCACAATCTCCCTTATCTGAGATTTAAAACCCATTTACAACACCAAGAAATCAAGTCTCCCTGTAAGCAAAGACCAATATTAGACGAGGTTCTCTTTTGCTTCCAAACTAAGCTGAAAAAGTAAACCAAATTAAAAGTCATTTGCAAGAACTGTAATACTCGCTGCTTCATGAGCTGTCATCCGAGCTTTGTCACCTTGACCAAATGCCTATCGGCCATGAGATGAGTTTATAGGTTGCTTTTTGTATATCTATTTTTGATATGGAAAAAAAACATGATTGTAAAATAGATAGGAAGAAATAAACACTTAGAATATAAATAAATCAATATAAAGCTTTGAGTGGGTGATTAGCTAATTCACATAATCATTGAAAATATATTATACCTAGTGATTTTGAGATGCTTAAATTTCCCAAAAATACATAATACTCATATGAATAGTCCAAAATGTAGGGATTTTTGGTGATGTTATTTTCTAAAGGTTAGTTTCTAATTAAGAGATAAGTCTAAGGTCATATTAAGTAAATACTTTAAAGTATCTTGACTTTTGGTTCTTTTAGATGATTAAGAGGTACTACAATTGTTTTCGGGGTTGGCTAAAAAGACACCCTAATTTTCCATTTAGACACCCTATTTGATTTTTAAGGTTTTTTAATTGGTTGAATTTGCATAGTTTTTTTGAAAAAGTAAATTATAAATAGTTTATTATAGGTTGACTTTTAATAAAAGTGTTTATAGGGTGTCTAAGGGGTGTCAATTTAGCAACACCCTTGTTTTCGGTCCAAGTTTTGAGTTTTAGGCATTTTTGACTTCTTCTTATATTTCTTCCAATCCTTAAAGTTTGTGAGTTTATTATGTGACTTAATGATAACCACAATGTTGACCCTATGTGAATTATCACAACCTGCAGGTTCAACAAACGAATCAACATCAGTGGTAAATCCCTCGTAACCATGAAAGCTTTAGTGTAAAGAAAGATTAAAAAAAGTAATTAAAAACTAAATCATCCTAATGGGACACGGATTCGGTGTCCAAAAATCAAAATGTCTCGTGGAAAAAGCCTTTCACAACAAAGAAAAGTCAACAAATATAACAATGGAGACCCTATAACAACTACAATTTGAGAGGAGAAAGATAGCACCTTAAATTATTAATGTAGTAGAAGAAAAAAAATCAAAATGACTCATCTGATTGCACATTTTATCGGACAATCACCTAAAAATCAAAAATAAATGGCCATATTGCAAACCCTAGAATACTATTGCATACAAAAAGCGACCATGCCCGCGTGAATCATATTTAGCTCTTATAGTTCACAATGAAATCAAAGAAATAAAGGGTTACCTGCTTCCGATTCCGATTGGTGTGGCAAAATGACCGATTATAGAAGAAGACGATGAAGAATTTGTGGGGGTGCAAGCTTCTTTGTAGATGAAATTGTAATCCAATATACAATCGATTACACATATATATTTAAAATCCTTAATATGCTTTGTGTATACCATCATACAATGTAAATTTGAATAAGATTTCAGTCTTTATTTTTGGATATTAGGTTGGAATTCCTGATTTCATGGGATTGAGTTTAATTGATAGAACATAGGCTGAATTTCATGCGTTGGAGTTTTAAGCAAGGGTAAAATTGAAATTTCACTTTATATGTTTGGGTTTTAAGAAGATGACACGTGGCATTTTAGTACTCTTTTATTAGAATATATATATATATATATATATATATATATATATATATATATATATATATTATATATATATATATATATATATATAGTCACACATAGTATAATGAGAAAACTCATCTAAACTGAAAAACTGAAACAATGCAGTCATGCAAACCATACTCGTAAGAATCAAATACACGAACCTCCTAAATCATCATTACATGTAACTTAGTGACCCAAACCAACAAAGGGTCAATCCTAGGTCTAAAACCTTAAATTCACCCAAGTTTGACCAAAAGTCAAACAGGTCAAAAAGCCAACGATCTCACGCTACGCTCAATGTAGCTCATAAACTACGCTTGACGTATCACTAAAGGACAAAACAAACAAATGGACTCTTATGCTACGCTCAACGTAGCAAGGGTCTACTCTTAGCGTAGAGCAGCTAGATCCAAAACTTCATTAAGTCCTTAATCCATTAAGCCAAAGGCTCAAACTTCCAAATCTCAATCATTTAAGTGTCTTAATGGATAAATTTTCCAAATTTA